CAGCGTTGTTCCTTCCCTCCTCTGCCCTTCCTTTCTACCTCTGCTCCTCTTGCTGTCTCTGCCCGCTCTCACCTGCCCCAGACTACTACTGTGACTTAAAAAGAGGGAAGAGGAGCCAGTGCCCGAGGGGGCCACCGGTGGCTGGAGGTCCCCATTCAGTTGCACTACAAACACTGACCAAATAGGCAAGGAAGGAGGTGTGTGTGTTTGTTGTCCCAGGCAGTGTTGGGAGCTACCCGAGGCCCTGCCCTGTGTCCAACTGGGTGGCAAGGTGGAAGGAAGCACAGGCACACAGGCCGTGGGTGGGTCCCCTCACCGGGGCTGGGGCAGTGCAACTCGGAACGCCTTCAGGCTAAAAGTGACTCATTGTCCAAGTTGGAACCGGAATGCTTTCTTACTCGGAATGGCTTTTGTAACTATTGATTTCTGAAGCTGGTTTTATGAGCTGTGACAGTGTTACTGGGTTGGGGGTATGTTTATTTCCTACAAAGTACTTACGGGACTAATGGGCAAAACAGAGATTTTTAAGTCTTCCATATGCTGTTTGACTTTTATATTTTTAAGTTATATTTTCATACTATTGTATTTAAAAAGTTTTTAATTCCCAAAGAAATGGGTTTGTTTGCCTTTCACGGGGTGTGGGCTGGCAGGAGGAAAAGGTTGGGAGTTTTTTATTTTAAATATAGTTTGGTGATGCCCTGCGATAAGATGAGACAGATGATTGGGGAGGGAAGGAGGATGGCCCTTCTCTGGAATCAGCAAACCCAGTGGTTCTGTGAAGGTCAGACCCAAGCTTAGCACTGCTGGTCTCGATGCAGATCCAGGAGCTGCAGAGTGTGTGAAACAGGAAGGGCGCTGCCCAGGGCCTACGAGCTCTAGTGTTCTGCTGGCAGATTAGAAGGTCTTGGTTAACCTTGACCAAGAAAGGAGCTTAGCTAAGAGATCTTTTGTGTCGAGAGGACTCAAGACTAGCAGACTCCTATGCAGAAGAGGAGTCTCTGCAGAGACTCCCATCATGGTTTAAAATGGTCTCGGCTCTCAGCCCCTGCTGCTGCAGCCTTCAGAGCCAGCCTCTGGACACAGCGCCAGGAACCTCCTCTTATGCTGCCCTGGTACCTGTCATTCCAAGTGTCATCTGTTTTGCATAGTGTTCTGGAGAACATCTGCCTCACAAAGTGATCGTTTTTTCCACGCCCTCCAAAGTTGAGGGGGCTAAGGCAGGTAGGGGTGAGAGAGCTCGCTCTGTAAACCACAGGCAGGGCAAGGTGCTTCTAGGCCATGTCCCCTCCCCGTTGCATGGCCCCTGCTCCTCAGCATGGCCACAGGCCCCTGTGGCTTTGAGAGTTTGCTGAGTGATTGTGAAATAGGCCGACCCCAGCAATTTCCCTGCTGTGGATGCAGCAAGGTAGGGGTGCTCCTCATGGTTTGTCAAGCTCAGAGGCAGCCATGGATGGTTAGGAACAGGAAGCCACTGTACTGAGGTGTGAGCTAGAAGGGAGACAGCGTGGAATTTAAGTGAGACAAGTGCAGAGGAGGCCACTTTACTTAGAACATTCCTTTTAGACCTGCATGAATATGTGTTTCACTTAAGCACATTGGGTCCGAATTGTGGAGAGTGAGCCCAGCTGTTAAACCAGGCACCCGGGGACTACCAGCTCTGCCTCTCAGAGTCCTGCCTGTCCTGGACTTGGAGGTGAGCATTAGAGAGGCCTTCTCAGCCCATCTTCCACCAGGAATGCAGAGCCAGGGTGCTGAGAGGAGCAGGGACTGTAACTGCAGTAGGAGGCAACTTTGCCAGTGTGGGCCTCATGGCCAGCAGGCCAGGCAGTGCCTGAGATTGGAGTCCGCCTGGGGTCTGTGTCTTTCCTGTTCAAAATGGCTCTCTGTGCTCCCTCCCATACCACAGCTATGGTAGTCGGCATTTCCCCACCAGCTCTCTAGTGGGAAAGAGTGGCTGGAACCAGGCCATTCTGAGTTGAATTTGAGAATACCAGGACTCATGTTCCTGGCAGGACAGTCATTCCCTCAAGGCATCACTGACTCAGTTCTAATCCCTCCCTTCCTGTTTCATTTTGGTTTGAACAACCTGTGCCTGCAGCTGTTTCTTCCGTCTTCCTAGAGCTCAGAATCAGAGCTTCATTTTCAGTCTTGAGCTCCTAATGTTTCCAAACAGGGCAGGGGATAGGAGAGCCATAATCTGTGAAAGCTGTAAAACAAACTCTGGGTTATGTAGACCTCAGATCATCTCATCTGAAGGCTCGGCCCAGTTCCCGGTGAGCAGTGGGTTTGGGGAATAAAGAGGTAGCTGGTGAGTGGTGGTTTTCCACTGTATCCTGATTTTCAGAAAGGGCTTTAGTCTCTGAGCTGCAGCCAGTGTAGATGGCTGACCAGGAGACAGAGGTCTAATAGGGTGTCTGACCAAAGGGCGCCTCTTGGTGTGTGGGCCTGGACAGTGTGTCCTCTCATGTTTGGTCTTCCCCTCCTCGTGTGTGTGTGTGTGTGTGTGTGTGTGTGTGTGTGTGTACGCACATGTACATACATACAAGTCTGTATCCCCAGAAGTGCCTCCTGCCATCATTGGGGGCTCTTCTGTGGTGCATCATCCCACGAGAGCAGATCAGAGGGCCATGGTCAGGACTTCCTCCCGAGCTGCCCTCCCTCCCTGGGATGAGTTTCCTCACCACCTGCTCCAAGGTGCCTTACGAGGTGCAGCTCTTCACCTGGCCACATGGCATCCATCACCGTGCTTGAGAAATGATGAGATGGCTGGATGTTGTGTGCTACCAATCCAATGTGTCCAAATCTGGACCTCAGCCAAGCCAGCTGTGATGGAATCATGCAAGACAAGGTCATGAACAAACTTCTTATAACTATTGAACATAAACTAATGAGGTAGAACTGCCATATCTGAAGGGAAGAGGTGGTTGGTACTGTGATGTCCTTTTGCTGTCAGAGGGGTGTTGACAATGGCAAGGGGGGATATTGGTGAGCCCAGGTGATGGTGGCTTCTTGGTCCACTTGGCTTGAACACATGCAAGAGGAGGGTCTGTGGCCTCTCAAGCTTTAACTTGTGCCCTCCCTGGCAACAGGGAGTCATGGGTTAATGTCACCTGTCATGCCTCTTTCTTCAGGGAAAATATTAAAAGGCTCATATCCAAGCTGTGGCTTCCTCTAGGCAGTGTAAGCCTGGAGGTTGTAGCCCCAAGTTGATGTTCAAAGGCTGCCTCAGAGCCCTGGAGGGAGCAGCACCCAGCCGCAGCCCACTCTGCCCTCCAGACTGCAGTTCACTGGCCTTTTCACAGCCAGGCTAAGATAGGCAGTGCTCGGAGCTTCCCGCAGGCCAGAGCAGCTGCCTTGTAGAGTGTGAGGCTGGCTTTTAGAAGTTTCACACGCTTGTAGTTAAGAGTGCAGAGCTGTCTGTTTCACTTTGTGAAATTGGCAGCTCTGAGGGGCTTGGCTTTTGGTGTGGACTTATGGTCTGATTTGCCACAAGCACCTTGAACTCCCAGGTGGATGAGTTGGTTTGTTGGTTGGGTTGTTTTAAATTTGATTTTTCTTTTCCTGAAGTTTGTTGGAAGTCAGACTTATGCGAGCAAAACCATGGCCCACTTTAGCTGCCATCCAGTGGGGGTATTTAATCAGTGGTGTTAGAATTCATAGAAACATGTTTTTGAAATGAAAGGGAAGATGATGTACTTACATTGTAAAATGGTTTACAATAAAGTTTGGCATCTTATTACAGTTTTTTTAAAAAAGAAACCATCACATTTGTGGTTGTTGGTTGTGTGTTCTCTAGAGTTGAAACAGCGTTGCAGGGTCACAAATGATTCCCCTGTGAATTAGAAGGTTCTCCCCAGCGACCAGAGTGAGAAGGAACCTTACAAAGCCTTGTGACAGAAGTGGAAGCCAGCATCTGCCCAGGAAAAAAAAAAAACATGCTCTTGCCATTGCCACTTCCTCGCTAGCGAGAATTAAAGCAAGTCCCCTGAGAAGCAGTGAGCAGCCCACATCCTCATCCCTGAGGCTACAGGGCTGGAAGGTGGGTGCCTGGGCAGAGCCGCAGCACCAGGTGCCATCTGCAAGGGCACCCCCAGAGCCGGTGGAAGGCCCCCATGAGGCCTGGCCTGCCCCCGGCTGCCTCTTGGCTCATGTTCCATTCCTGGGCATTCCTCATGTCAGCACTTGTCTCAGATCAAGCCTGGCAGTCCTCATGTTGGCCTCCTGGAGCCAGGATGGCAGGATGGGGATCGGGGTGGGGGATTGGGGTGGGGTTCAAAGTATGACAGCAGTGGAGTGGCATTTGGGATAACCAAATGTCAGTTCCTGGTTGGGTTCCATCTGCCTGGAGCTTTCAAGGATAAAAATAGTCTCCATCATAGACTGAAAAGGACTTGGGTATGTCTGATCTCACTGGGAGGGCCCTGACCTCCTACGCACATCTGTTCCCCACACCCACCCCAGGCTTAGGGTCATGTCCTGTGCCCTGGGGGATCTTCCCCTTGCAAGGGAGATGCATGTCAAGAGCTTCTAGCAGAGGAGAGCTAAGCAACCTTCAGGAGGAGCCTTTGGGCCTGTTCTTGTCTCTGCAGCTCAATACCTGGAGTGGGCTGCACTCTCCCCCACCCTCTTTGAGCAACTGAAACTGTCCTGCAGGCCAGCCCCTCTGCGGTGGCCTCACCTAGTCAGAGGCCTGAGCCTGAGCCTGTTTCCCACTTCTGTCTCATCAGTGCTCTGACCATCAAGCGTGGTTTCCTCCCTTGTCCTTTCCAGACCCCTTACTCCCCACTTAACTGAACTTGCACTTGGAATAGGACAGAGGACAAAGGCACAAGCAACTCCCCAGGCTGCCCTTGGCCTCAGTTTCTCCACCTGCGAACCTGTGGTAGCCCCTCTCTCTGAGTTTGCTGTGAGGGCCCAGTGAGCTCACTGTGAGCAAATGTAACCGGCACGGGAAGCTCCTGCTCTGCCACCATGCAGGCATGGAAAATCTCTTTCCACTGGAATCCAGGGGAAGAGATGGAAGAGAAAGAAAAACAAGCTTGAAGCAGTCCAACCTAGGGCTGGCTAGGGCCTTCTGTTTCCTCAGGGACACCCCACACCCACCACACACTGGGATGAGCGCTTGCAGAGGAACAATTCAGATGTCACACATTCCAGGACCCACATCCGTAAACACACAGCAAGTTCACCAGTGCCAGCACCTCCCCACAGCAAATCAAGCAGCTGTCCCAGAGGGCACAGGGTCTCTGCAGCCATTTGCTTTCCCCAGGGCTGCAGCCCCCAGACAGCAGTACTCGGAGTCCCTCTCATCTCCAAGAATAAACTCTGAAGCCAGCAACCCTGCGGACCTGAATCATCAGGGAGCCTGTCAGAGGAGGGGCAGTGACTCTCCCGGACAAGCAAGCAGGCTATATAAGTTCCAGAAGGCTGGGCTCCACTCAGATCTTTTCCAGCGGCTGCTGCTTTACCAGAGAGGTGCCTTCGGAGACGCAGCGCTTATACAACATCCACCATGTCCCAGGTAGGAGGGCCCAGCACGGGGCTGTGTTGATGCCAGAGGGAGTGGAGGTGGAGTCCTGGACACTTTCAGCTCTGGCAGCTTTGTCATGAGCTGAGCCCCAAGCATGAACTGGAGGCTCTGCAGCCCTGGGAGATGGGAGCTCAGGGAGGACCCTCCCTGAGGAAACACTTTTCTATGTGGCTTTGGTGGTATTCCATGGTTTGTTAGGAAGAGTGAAGAGAAATGGGGGGGCTTAGATCTCTTCGTGTGTGTGTGTGTGTGTGTGCGTGCGCGCGTGTGCGCACATGCACACTGTTAATGTAGCTCAGTGTGTACAGCTTTGTGACTTTGTAGCTACGGCCCCTGTAGCTATGCACTCTGTAGCTACACACAGGTTTGTCTCTGTATATGTATGGTATACATAAACAGGAAGCTGTTTGTGTGCGCACAGGAGGCTGTAGGGACACAGCTGGGTGCATCCTGTACAGGGGTACAGTGTGTTGCTCTTAGGAGCCTGGCCCAGGCTGAGGGAGGGAATCCCTGCACCTGCAACCAGGCGTAGGAAGGAAGCTCTCAGATTCATAGGCGCCTGGGGTTAAGGGGTAGGGTAAACACTGAGCCTGGGTGTCCTCCACCCTGGAGGGACAGACCAGTCTGCCAAGAGAGAGGGGTTGTTCCTGTTGCCCGCTCTGTGGGTGGGTGCCCACTTTAGACTGTAACTCTTGGGCATCTAGTCCTTCTACCCCATTTTCACTCCCAAAGGCACACAGTAAATACTGGTGCTTTTCTGGGAGAGGGGCAATCCTTGAGGGATACCTTGCCACTCAGCAGGTTTTGGAACTAACCAAATTCCCTGTATTGCTCACCCTCAGAGCTAGTCTCCTTCGCCATTCCCCACTGTGCCCAGCCCTGAGCTTAGCCGAACAGATAGACACACCAGTGTGTGGCTACAGCAGCCACTGCTCCCAGAAGCTCCTGGGCTATGGGGAAAGGGCACAGGGGCAAGTCAGACCAAGATGGCTGGGAGACTCGTGGCAGGTGGAGCATAGTTGGGAAGGCTTTCTCTGGAAGAGGAGTGGAGGCTCGAATAGGCTTGGGTTTAGTGAGCAGAGAAGAGGGGTCTTGGCCAAGGCACAGAGGTAGGGGTCCCCACCTTGAGGCCTCAGGTAGTAAGATGAGGCTCTTGGATCTCCAAGGCTGGTGCTCAGGAAGCCCCCATCAAGAAGAAGCGCCCCCCTGTGAAGGAGGAGGACCTGAAGGGGGCCCGAGGAAACCTGACCAAGAACCAGGAAATCAAGTCCAAGACCTACCAGGTCATGCGGGAGTGTGGTGAGTGTCCTCAAACTGGCTGGGGCTGGGCTGGGGGTGCAAGTGTGTATTGGTTGGGGGAGGCAGTCAAGGATCCTTTTCTGAGAATCCAGCATTCCTGGGCTTAGGAAAGGGTGCTCCCATCATAAGGGGCCTTCCCACCAAGGAAGCCAGGCTGGCCTCTGACTGTACCTCCTTCCCACAGAGCAAGCTGGCTCGGCCGCCCCATCGGTGTTCAGCCGCACCCGCACAGGCACCGAGACTGTCTTTGAGAAGCCCAAAGCCGGACCCGCCAAGAGTGTCTTCGGCTGAGAAGTGCATGCCACTCCCCTTGCTGCCCAAATGCTCCAAAACAGCAGCCTTTCCCCGGAACTCTTTTTTATGCCAGAACACCTTTCCCCTGCCATCTCTGGGGCTGCCACCCTCCCCCACAGTCCTGGCCCTTCAGCCAAGGGCTCTTCACCAGCACCTTGAAGCCCCAATAAAGAGGATGCACAAGTGGCCCCAGCAGTTGGAAGGTGTTGGTTGATCCCTGGGTGTGGCCACTATTGAGGGGGAGGACAGGGTGGGATCATGGAACATGTTCATTTGGGAGGCTCCTAGGGGATAGCACAGGTGCTGTTATGGCCGCTGCACATGCTGCCTTGGACATGGAGACCCGGTGCTGACCTGTGACTTCAGACCAGATTGTTCGGAGCCTCAATTTCCCCTTTTATACCACAGGGGAGTTGAGCTGGAGCCTATTCCATAAAGCAGGCCATGGTGACACTGCTCAGAGTGAAGTGGGTAGGGGCTCAGGGACCACCTCTCCCTCTGCCTTCCACAGAACTGCTGAGAAGCCTCCAAGGACCCCCAGGCTCTGCGGCTCCTAGGGACCTCAAAACCCCTCTCCTTGCACTTTTGTTCACACTGCCTCCTTGCCAGCTTTTGTCCCCTCCAAGACAAAGCCAGATTGAGATTCCTCTCTGGCAGTCAAGTTTCCTGAGCCATTGTCTCTTCTAAACAGCAGGGTAAGCCTCTCATGTTCTGCTCCAACCAGGCTACCTGCGGCATGGGAACACCAGATTCTCAGCCTGCGGAACCCTTCCCTCTCCAGTCCTCTGTCCCATGTGCCTGGAACTGCCAGATTCAAAAGACACAGAGGCCTGTCCCATTGTGATGGCAAGACCATGGACAGGCTGACAGTGTCTCCTTTCGGAGATAGACTGGCAGAGCCTGGGCTTGTGGTGTCTAGCTCAGGGCAGCGGCCTGCTGGGGATGCCCCCCTGTCCCAACACCAGGGGAACCAGCTGCCCAGAGCCTTTCCCACAGTCCCGGCCAGCCTGGCCTCCTTATATAGCTCTGGGTCTAGGCTAGCCCCATCCTCTGTGCCCCAAGGGAGCAGACCTGCAGTGAGGAAGGGCCTGGTCCTACTTGCTGGACCCCATGGGGAGGCTCGTCCCCCAGACACTGAAAGGGGTATGTTCCCCTGTCCCAGTCATATCCAGAGCCGAAAGGGTGAGCAGTAGAGACGTGTGCAGAGAGGCTTCTGGCCAGTCATGCTAAGGAAGGGGAGCGTCTTCTTTACAGCTGTAGAAATAGCTCCAGTCTGTGACACCCTGCTCCAGGCCTGCTGCTGCCTCTAATGGAGACAGGGCTGGTGGAGAAAAACCTCCCCAGCCTCTGGCTGCCCCAAGGCCCCCCATAGGTCCCTAAGGCAGCTGGCCCCCTCAGGGCTGGTGTCACGGAGCTGTCCTTCCCTTATCCAGGACTTGGCACCTGACCACATTTGTGACTCATGTTTACCCATCTATGGCCACAGACTCCCCAGAGCCACCAGGGAACATGAGCTCCAGCAGCACCCAGAGCACGTAATATGTACTCACTCGATCGAACTTCACAACGAGCAGAGTGCTTCAACTTTAATAAGCCCAGGACCTAACCCAGGCCCTTGCGCAGCGCTCCCCTGGGTCTGGCTGCAGCTCTGCCTCATGAAAACGGCATTCTGCCCTCTCTCAACCTGCAATTCCTGGGCTCTCTCCGCTCCACCAGCCACCACCCCAGTCACCCCTCAGGAGCTACTGGCACTGTCAGCTCTGTCCTCTGTTCCATGGTCTCCTGTCAATAAACTTCCCGCCTGGAGACCTCTGTGCCACAGGATGTGGCGGCTTTATGACTGTTGTATTGCCTAATCGCCATTGTTTTGGGGGCCTTGCTTGGGTTGAGCCTAAAGCCCTGGCTAAGTTCACGGCACTCAAACAGCAGCCTGGGACCCCAGGAGAGAGAAGGAGGTGCCCTGTGCCCAGCACCTCTCACTTCAGAAATAAGGCGTATCTATCCTGACTCTAGATCTTTCCCCACGCAGACACCTCCCAGAATTACCCAATGCCTTTGGGCCCTTCCATCAGCCAGTCACACTCACCTGGTGGCCAAGGCCACCTTCCTCCAGGAAGCCGCTATGGTAGCTCTGTAGCCCTAGTCTTCCCTGCCATCCCCGTTTCCCCCCTCCAGGCTGGACTTATGGAGAGCAGACTGGCATCTTCACTGTCGATTCCCGCCCCCCACCACCCTATGGAGCTTGTTGGAATGCCTGGTGTGAAGGGTCCTGGTGCCTGGAAGAGTTTTGTACCTTGCAGAAGGGGCACAGTACCCCCACTCCAACCTGAGCCTACCTTTTTTCAGTATATATTCCTGTCCCCAGCCAAGGTCCACAGGATATTCGTCATTTGCTTATCTGAGGACACTGTGGTTTTTTGGCTTGTAGATCCCAATTTCCCAGAACCTGCCACCCCGTGGGTGGGGTTGCAAACAAGCAACCCCTATTAATCAATTCCCCACTTGCTCTCAAGTTCAGAAGCCGCCTAGCAGACACTGGAGCCACGATGAAGCCCTCAGGGACTGTCTATACCTGCAGCAAAGTGCTGGTCCTGCTTTCACTGCTGGCCGTCCACCAGACCACCACTGCCCAACAGGTAGCCAGTGTCCACGGGTGTGGCGTGAGCTGGGGGATGAGAGCATGCCTGGGAAGTGGGGGAGAGCCTTCGCATGTGCGAGCGTGTCAGCACAAGTGCGCGTGCATCAGTGTGTTTGCAAGAAAATGGTGCAGAGCTCCCGCCAGGCACTACCCCAGTGGTCTTATGGGTATTCTCCTACCTAATAGAGGGCATGATCCAATCATTTCCATTTTGCGAATGAGGAAATACAGTTTTACAAGCCTGGCTCTACCGCTTTCTAGTAACTAACCTCCAGGGAGTGATTTATGCTGTCTATGTCTATTTCCTCATCTGTAAAATAGGGTAATAGTAGAAACTATTCAGAGGGTGGCAGTTGTAAAAACCAAACCCATTGTATCTGTAAAGTGCTTAGGACAGTACCTGTCCCAGAGCAAATACCCAAGCACATAAACAAGCCACTTGGCACCTCTGTGCCAAACTGTGTTCGGGCAGCTGCATGCAGCCAACCAGTCGGTGTGCATGAGCGTGGCACACACAAGCAGGTTAAGAGGTGCCCGTGTGTCCTTCCTCGGGGAACAGAGGCCTTGAGCAAATGGCACATGTCAGGGGAGTGCCCTGTGGAAGGGGGGTGAGTTGGGGAGGGTCTACTGCGGGGCAAGGAGGAAGATTCCCAACTCTTACAGACTCAACTCTAGTCTACCTCTGAATTCTCCCAGCTGCCAGGGCTTCCTGGTAGGAGACTGGTGGGAGCTTCCCTATTGCCAAGAGGCCAGAGTCTCCAGAAATCAAAGGACCTGGTCACTGCCCTTTCTCTGGGCAAAGCTAAGTCAGCATGCAAAGCCTCCTGACCCCACCAGGGCCCTCACCCCTGCCCAAAGGCTAAGTGTGATGCCTCTCCTAGACATGGGCTCCGCCTTCACCAGCCCCACCCCCTTGTTCTTCTCCAAGGAGTGCTCTGGGCCCCCATAGATCAAGAAGGACATGGCCCCTGCCCTGTGGTGCCATAGGTAGGGAATGAAGCACACTGCTACATCTTATCTGAGACAAATGTTCACATATGAGATGCCTCACTGTATTCAGCCTGAGGCCTGGTCAGTGTGGCTCAGATGGGTTGGGAACCAGGCTTTGGTCTGAAGCCAGAGTTGGGGCCAACTCTTGAAGAGTGTCACCCCGAGGTGGCATTGAAACCCTGCAACCCCCTTCTCCTTTGCTGGTCCAGAATGATATTGACATCTACAGCCTCACCGTGGACTCCAGGGTCTCTTCCCGGTTTGCCCACACAGTCGTCACCAGCCGAGTTGTCAACAGGGCCGATACTGTGAAGGAGGCTACCTTCCAGATGGAGCTGCCCAAGAAAGCCTTCATCACCAACTTCTCCATGTAGGTGCCTTTCCCCTCCCCCCCACACGCCCCCCAGTGCTATCGCTCCATCAGCTCTGTGCCAGCAGGCCCTCTTCCTGAAGGGAGGCATGCCAGGGTGTACATCTTCAGGAGTACACCCTGTACCTGGGGGCCACACAGGGAACGTGGGCTTGCCAAGGGACTTATTCTTTGAGCTGCCCCCATCCTTTCATCCTGCCATTCATCATCCCTAAGTGCTGCCCAGGTGGCAGGCAGAGAACCACAGCGTCTTTGTGACTTCGCCTTTGAGGAGCACAGACTTGAGGCCTCCTGAAGCCAGGCCAGGCAAGTGGGAGTCACCAAAATGCAGATTCCGGCTCAAAGTACAGAAAACATTCCAGCCCCATGGCTTCCCCACAGCAGAGAATGGCTTGAGGAGGATTTTCCTAGTTACGCCCCAAGCTGGGATCCTGCAGAGGGCATTTTTGCTCAGCCTGCATGAGAAACGCCTGGGGTTTCTCTGAACGCTGTGAGACTGTGATGGTCCTCACCTTGCCCTCTGCCGCCCTCCCCTACCCTTCCCAACTCAGTTTTGCAATATTTGCTAAATGCACCAGGATGCTGGCTATCCCTTGGCACCAGGAAAAGCTGTGATTTAGGACAGGGGTAAGACTCTTCCCAGAAACAGAGGGGGCAGTGGCGGGGCAAAGGAGGGTCTCTCATGTGCGGTCCCACACTGGGGCCTCTGGAAAACTGCAGTGGGGGCTGGTCTTTTCCCTTGGGCCCTACACATCCCCCCACTCCACAGAAGCCCCTGCTTTTCCTAACCCAGAGCCCAGGCCTATGCTGCCCAGCTTGCAGCACAAGCCCCACGGGTTTCAACATGAGTGCCAGGGCCAGCAGTTGCCAGGTCTAGGCCCATGGCATCTGCTGAGAGCCCAAGACTTGTCACTTAACTTCTCTGGACCCAGATCCTGTTGCTGCATGAGTCATGGGAGCAGAGAGCAGGGTTTCCTGCTCCCTGACCTGGCATCTGGAAGGATCAAGCACTGCCCACCCAGGAGGAGGAGCCCCACTGCCCACTCACTGGCCCCACCTGGGGCCAGAGTTAAATTATAACCAGGAAGGTCAGGCAGTCCTGACATCCTGGCTGCTCCCCGTCCTGCCCACTGCCACACACTCGTACTTTCATACCACCCCCAGATGGAGCAGGCGAAGTCGACTAGGCACATCCCTGCTAACCCCATAGGAGGCTCTGAAGAAGTCATTTTTCTCCCTGAGAAATGGCTTGGACCATTCTTTCTCAGCACCCAAAAGACAGCTGCTAGGAGTGTGTCCACACACCCAAGAGTCCCGTCTACCAGTTGTCCAAAACCTCCTTCCGGATATACCAGCCTCCCTGCGGGGTGCCTGCCCTTTGTGGGAGGGAGGAGGGAGGCCGCTGAAGGGGGAAAGGGCTCAGAGCCTCCAGCCCTGCATCTCCTTCCTCCTCAGTCCTGGCCCTATACAACTGCACATAGGGCTGGAAACAATTGCGACTCAGACAGCTCTTGCTGGTGATGAACTGGTTCCCCTGGAACGACCTGTGAAGTAGAAGGGGCAGGTTGGAATGAGGTCCAGCTTGGGCCAGACTGGACAGGTGGAGAGAAGGCAGGATTTAGCTGGGGCCTACCCCTCTGCAGCCTCCCCTTCATCTCTTCTATAAAATGAATGCTTACTGTTACTGTGCACACCTCAGGGAGCTAGAGGCCTGTTGCACTTTGCAGAGTGCCCTGCAGAATCTTGTATCTAACAGGTGCATAATAAATGCCACTGGGCTCAGGCACATGGGAGTCACTGTGTCAAGAGGTACACTGAGTCTAGAAATGCTCTCTGGAGGAGGTAAGAGTGGAGTGGGCCCCTCCCACGAGGCTCTCAACAACTCCCACCCTTCTGCCCCCAGGATCATCGACGGCGTGACCTACCCAGGGATCATCAAGGAGAAGGACAAAGCCCAGGCGCAGTACAGCAGAGCAGTGGCCAGGGGAAGGAGTGCTGGCCTTGTCAAGTGAGCTGGCAAGGGGGCCGCTTCAGCGGGGAGGGTCTAGATGGAGGCCACCCTGTCTTTGTCCCCTTAGTCTTGCTCCCACCTCCACCAGCCTGACCCACCTGTCCTGGAGGGGCAGGCCTGATACCCTCCTCCCGCAGGGCCGCTGGGAGAAACATGGAGCAGTTCCAGGTGTCAGTCAGTGTGGCTCCCAATGCCAAGATCACCTTCGAGCTGGTCTATGAGGAGCTGCTCAAACGGCGTCTGGGGGTGTACGAGCTGCTGCTAAAAGTGCGGCCCCAGCAGCTGGTCAAGCACCTGCAGGTACCTGCTGCTGCCTCTTCCGGGAGGTCTCCTGAGTGACCCTTGCCCTGCTGAGGGCAGCCCCTATTTGCCCCTGGGCCTCCTGTGAGCCTCAGCCCAGGCTGATCCAAGGACCCACATCTTACCTCCAGATGGACATTCACATCTTTGAGCCCCAGGGCATCAGCTTCCTGGAGACAGAGAGCTCCTTCATGACCAACAAGCTGGTAGATGCCCTCATCACCTCGCAGAATAAGACCAAGGTGGGCCTGTCGTGGTCAGCAGGTGAGGGTACCAAGGGCCCTGCCTTCAGACCAGTCCTATGAACCTGGATTTCCGGAGAGCAGCATAGGCAGATGCTGTGAGCTGGAGAGGCTCCTAAGATCTCTGCGTCCTTACTGTCATTTGGCAGATGGGGAGGGCAAAGCCTAGAGAAGACTATGAGCCTTCTCTATATATACGAGCCCTGAGACCTGTCTGGGAAGGGGCTGGAGAATAGACTGATGTGAGGGTCCTGGGGTCAGGTGGAGAGGAGGAGATGGCCAGATT